GAGCAACCAGTTCTTGGGGGGGTGGGGGGGGCGGTAATGTCCCAGCAACACATCAGGCTGTTGAGAAGAGCTGGGGTGGTGGGCCTCCTCCGCCTGAAGAGATTCCTCTTGTCTCCCGGTTCCTACCACAGCCTCCACAGCACGGCACCTGTACCTTCGGGGTGGCGCTGGGGTCGGCTCCATGACCAAGATCTATGGGGGGCGGCAGAGGAATGGTGTCATGCCCAGCCACTTCAGCCGGGGCTCCAAAAGCGTGGCCCGCCGGGTCCTTCAAGCCCTGGAGGGGCTCAAGATGGTGGAGAAGGACCAAGATGGGTGAGTGGGGAACGCCTGGGGCCAGACCATCCCAACCAAGGTACCTGTCATCAGGGGGCGTGTCCCCGCCCCTTGGGCCCTCATCCCACTCCCAGTGTCAGGTGGGGGCGTGGCAGGAGCTTCTCGACCTCTCTGGCTAGCTAACTCAGCTCCGGGAAGGTAATTTAGAGACTGTCCACTTTCATTAGCGTGCTCGTTAACTTTGCTTAATTGATTTTTCGGGGCTTTTGATCTGATGTTTGCACAAGCGACACCCTGTCCGCTCCCTGGGGCTCCAGCTCCTTGGATCGCCTTGGCCGGGCTCAGCAGGGCTCTCTGGAGGCATGTGATCCTCAGGCCAAGGACCAGTCTGGGGCTGGGGGCCAGTGCTGCGGTCTGTGCCTCCACACACCATAACCCTTTTCCTGCAGCGGCCGCAAACTGACACCTCAGGGACAGAGAGATCTGGACAGAATCGCCGGACAGGTGAGGGCAGGGCAGGTGCCTGTGGGTGGTGGGGTCAGGAAGGGTTTTTTGAGGCACTGGGGGGCAGCAGAGATAGGGTCTCCCACAGAGGGTTCAGAAAGTTCGTGGAACAATTTCATGGTCTTTTCATTCTGTTTTCCCACAAACTTTTGAAGCCCCTCTTGGGCCCCAAGGCCTATCAGGAACTCCTTATTGGGTCTTCCTATTTCTAGAACCGTGCCACAAAAGAATGGGCAGCCAGTGCTCTGGAAGGAGAGCATGGCCCCCAGTGAATGTTGGCCAGCTCCTCCTCTTCCCTGAACTTGGTAAAATGGGAGTGCCCCCAGGGTATAGAAGGATTGGACAGCATGCCCACATAAAGCAGACTACTTGGTGGGCAGCCTACCAAGGGCCCCCTTCCCACAGACCCTCCCTCTTAACCTCTCCTCTGTCTTTCCTCACAGGTGGCAGCTGCCAACAAGAAACATTAGAACAAATGCTGGGTTAATAAATTGCCTCGTTCGTAATCTCTGTCTGTACCGTATGATTGGCAGCTGCTGCTGCAGGGGTTGGGCAGTCACCTGAGGAAGGAGAGCTTTGGTCCCATGGCCCTTTCAGGCCTTGCACTGCCCCACATCCTGCCTTGGCAGTTAGCGCTGCCAAGTGAGAGATGCTTGAGGCTGTTCAGGCAAGGCCTGGAGCTCAGTAGCCTTAGCTCCACCCTGAGGGAGTAGCGAGAAAGAGGCAGGGGCCCTTGGACAGACCCCTACCCCTATCCCTTTCACTAGCTTTGCTCTGGCCTCTTGGCTGAGCTAGGCCTCCACACCGGATGAGTACTGTGTGTCCTAGGGCCTGCTTGGGGAAGGGGTTAAAGTACCCACCACACAAGCTGATTGACTATAAAGTGGGCATGTTGGAACTTGGCCTCTGCCTGGGGCCCAGGAGTGCTTGCTGCCCCAGCCCCTTAGGGCTCAGATCTGACTCAGTTCCCAGATGCACTCTGGGAGGTTGAAGGCCCTGTGGGGTGAAGAGTTGCTGGTGCATTCCATCGCTAACCCTTGCACTTGATGTCCACGTTTACATGCATGATGTTTGAAGTAGGTAGGAGACTGAGCCCAGTGGGGAATGTCACATGCCTTCCAGCACTGAAACTGGAAGAGGATTTTAATGAAAACAGCCTACCTCTTGCTAGGTGCCTAGAAGTGGAGTTTGATGCCAGAGGGCAAGGGAGTGTCCCCAAGTGACAAGGTGATTGAAAATCACCCGGCACTGGCAAGTAAAACCCAGCCACCTGCTCCCAACTGTTTGGAAGCCCCTCCCTCCTGGTGCAGATCTGTCACACAGGTGGGACAGCCTAGGTGCCTGTGGACTTCACCAAGGCCAGGCCTGGAGCCAGCCTCAGGGTTTCATGACATCGAGTGCCCCCACAATCTTGCACAAGCTGGGTGGGGCAGAGGGTGAGGCCACAGCCATGCGGTCGAGTCCAGCAGCAACCCCGCCTCCAGCCACTGGGGGGCAGGCCAGGGCCTGGAAGTGGGCTTAGATGCCTGTGACCTGCCTTAAGTCTTGACCACCAGAGGCCCTAGGAAATGAGGGAGAATTCCACCTATTCAGGAGAGGAAGCTGCATACTAAAAGTATGCAAAACAGGAACAGACCCGTGAGCCTGTCACCCAGCTTAAGAGCCGAAACAAACACCTGGGCCGGGAAAGGCCCCTCTGCCGCCAGGCACAGCTGCCCTCAGCTCCACCCAGCTGGCACCTCCCAGGAAGTGGGTGTATGCACACTGCACCCACCCCGTGGTTGTCCCTGCACAGCACCTAGTGGTGTTTGGGGGTTTTATATAATCATTTTGTTGGGGACTCAGAACTCTTAACAATCCATACATCAGCCGTATCAAGCACATTTGTACATGTGTTTTCAAAACATTTTCTTGGTGTCAGCTCTTTATACCCTTCTCCCCACCCCCTTGTGAACTCTTGATGAATTATATAAATTCCTGTTTCACATCATCCACTGCCTTCCTCCACCTGTTTGTGTTTGTCCCCCGATGATGGGTTTCCCCTTTCTCCCCCAACCCTCATGGTATTGCTACTCCCATTGTTCCTGAGGGGGTATCTGTCCTGGATCCGTGTGTCGAGAACTCTTACCTACCAGTGTCCATGCTCTGGTCTAGCTGGATTTGTAAGGTAGAGCTGGGGTCATGGTTGCAAGGAGAGTGGGAGGAGCATTAAAGAACCAGAGAAATGTGTGTTTCCTCAGTGCTATACTGCACCCTGGCTGGCTCCTCCCTTCCTGGTGACCCTTCCGTGAAGGGATGTCCAATTGGCTACAGATGGGTTTTAGGTCTCCCCTCCCCAATTTGCATTGATATGCTTGTTGGGTCTTCTGTTACCTGATCTTGTCACCTAGTGGTGTTTTAAAGCCTGTTGAAAAACAGTCCTCCAACGCCCCTCCGTCGGAGTTGTGTCAGCTTTAGCTGTGTGTTCAATGGGGTTCTTTTCCGCCTGCTTCCTGGTTGTGTAGGATTCTCCTAAAGGCAACTGGTGCTGAGAGGCTTTTCCTAGCCTTGGGGTTTTTTCCAAAGCCATTTTATTGGGAGGGAATACAGATATAATCATTCCATAGCTCATTCACCTCAAGCAGTATCGTACGATGGCTACCACAGTCTGTTTCAAAACATTCTTTTCCTTCCTGAACATGACAGTCATGACATCACTTCCCTTTTATCACAC